AGACTCTGCACTTCTTGGATTGTATGTCTATTTTCTTCACCAGGTTAAGGAAACTTTTAGTCATTATTTCTTCAAATAGGTTCTCAATTCCTTACTCCCTCTCTTCTCCCTTTGGTACCCCTATGACACAAATGTTGTTATGCTTGATGTTATCCCAGAGGTCCTGAAACTATTCTCTTTTTTTCTTTTTGCTATTCCAATTGTTATCTGCTACCTTGTCTTCCAAATTGTTAATTCAGTCCTCTGCTTCATCTCATCTGCTATTGATTTCTTCCAGTATATTCTTCACTTCTGTTATTGTATTCTTCGTTTCTGATGGGTTTTTATGGTTTCTATGTCCTTTTTTATTGAAGGCTCACTACCTTTTTGTTGAAGTTCTCACTAATTTTTTGAGCATTCTTATAACAATTGTTTTGAACTCTGTATCTGGTAGATTGCTTGCCTGCATTTTGTTTAGTTCTTCTTCTGGAGTTTTCTTGTGTTCTTTCCTTTGAAACATGTTTCTTTGTTTCCTCATTTTGGCTGCCTCTTTGTATTTGCTCCTATGCATTAACTAGGTCTGCTCTGTCTCCCGTTCTTTGCCAGGTGGACTTAAGTAGTACGTGACTGTGAATCCAGGGGTAAAGTTTCCCTGATTACCTGACCCATGTGCTCCAGGAGCATCCCTTGTGTGGGTTGTGTGTGCTCTCCTGTTGTAGTTGAGTCTTAATTGCTGTTGTCACATCAGTGGGTGGGATTGACCTTTAGGCTGAGTACTTGTGAGGATTGGCCACAACCAAAGCATATGAGCTGTCATACGTGGCTGACCCCACAGAGTGGGATTTGCCCCAGCAGTCTCTGGTTCCTGCCACGACCACCCTTTGGGTGTGCCGCTTGTGGAACTAATCTGGTGGTACTTGTTTTGGTCTGAAGTGGTCACCAAATATGTTGGCTCTGGGGTCTCTTGGGAGGGGCTCTTGATGCAGGCCAAGATCAGCTGCTGCCTGTAATCAGCATAAGGATACCTAGTAAAAGTTATCCACGGTTGGTTGCTGCCTGTGCTGGGCATCTGTAGAAGATGCCACACTGTGAACTAAGGCCATTTGCCACCAGTACCTGGCCTGGGACCACTCAGCTGAAGGCACAGAGCAACCCAAGGCCTGTCACCACCTGCTGGCTGCCTGTAAGGCTCATCCCCTGAAAGAGCCTCAGACAGTATACAAGTTGGGTGAGGCAGGGTCTCATGAAGGCAAATGTTCACCAAGTCAATGCAGATTCAGAGTTGGCTCCAATGCCAAGCCTGGGGCTACTTAGCAAAGGCACAGGAGCTGTGCAAGCTGCTGCCTGCCTGGGGCCTCCAGACCTTTGAGAGTTTTTAAGAAAAACTGTATCTTGGCCTAGGCCAGCTGCCTGGTGCTGAAAGGGCCTCTGGTGGTACAGGAGTTGGTTGGGGCAAGGTCTCAGGGAATCAATCATCAAGGTGGGGGGAGTGGTGTTCACCAGGCAAATGTAGATTCAGATTTGACCAGGTAGTAAAAGGGATCCTCACAATAAAATTGGTGTCCACCTGCTGGCTGGCTTGGAGGAAGGCTCAATACGGGGACAATGGCAGCTATTCCTCCAGCCCTCACCCTGAAGCCACACAACTCAGCTTATCCCTCTAAGTCTCCAGTGCCCCCTGAGCTGCTATTTCTCTGCTAGAGCCCAGAGTAAGAACCTACGAGTGAGTGAGTCTGTGCATAGGCACTTAAAGAGGACACCTGGGTTTGCAGCAGCCTTTTGTCTCACCCAGATGGACAGAATCTCCACTGATTTTCACAGCCAAAAGATTTGGGGGTTTTCCTCTCAGCACTGGTGCTCCAGGCTGGGGACCCTGATGTGGGCCTGGGATCTCTCACTCTTCAGGGGGTCCTCTGCAGCTGAGATAGTCCTCCTGATTCTCAACCACAACACGTGGGTGTGGGACCAGCCCGTTTCTTGTCTTCGTCTGTCTTACCAGTCTCAATGTGGCTTCTTCTTTATATCCTTAGTTATAGGACTTCTGTTCCTCTAGTTTTCGATGGTCTTCCAGGTTGATTGCTCTATCATTTAGTTGTAATTTTGGCAGCGTCATGGGAGGAAGTGAGCACAGCATTTACACACCCCATCATTTTCACCTATCTACTTCTGAATTTGGCTCAAAACCAGGAAAAGTTGACATTTGTGATCATGTCCTTAAAGAGAAGCATGTGAATGCTAGAGCAGGTTCTTTAGACTAGTGATGCTCAGTGACCATGAAAGCTGTGGTGTAGCAGCAGCTTGCCGTTTAGACTAGACATGGCTGCCTGCCAACCACCGCCCTGGGAACACTGGGCCCAGGAGGGGCTGCAGTCAGACATGCTGTGTCTGTGCTGCCTGTATGAGAAACTCACTCCTAACAATAGCACTTCTTCGTCTGAGTTGGAAACACACTCTAATCTTGAAGTGTGTGTGGTGGAGCTTCCTTCCTGCCACTGACCAGCCATGGGAAAGGCCACAGAAAAGGCTGAGCACTGGTGTGTAACAGCAAGCACTACGTTGTCTTGTCTAGGCCTGACCTCTGGTGCCTGGCCACATGACTCGTGCCCTGAACAATAGATAAACCACGGAGACATCAGGAAATCTAGCCTCTAGATCATCCACATTTACGTGAGGACTTTCAATGGCTTCTAAATGAGAGGAGGTTGCTGAGGACAAATGCAATGAATGAAGCTCTTCTGTTTATCACACGACAAAACAAATAGAAAAGGAAAATGATTAAAAACAAAATGAATCTGATTATAGGCAATTATCTGAACACTGGATGGCCAATGAAACCCCCTCTTCCCCAAGAAACCGCCTTCTACTTCTATCCAATTTGACACCAGCTATTGCTCAGAAGGACTCTGTCATTCAGAGTGGTGAGAGCAGATATTTTAGAAGAGAAGAAACCCAGTAATCGTGCTCCTGCGATCCATGTCTCTCAGAATGTTTGTTCCCTGTAATTCCTGGATGGCTCTTCTCTCCATCTGCTAGGAGGGGGAGGAGAAAGAGATGGCTGTCCTTAATTGTTGCTTTGTTTGATTTATTAAATTCAGGGTCATTATCTAGAATGGGGTAATCTCATTAGAACTTAGACTGCTCTATTATTTCTTGGGATGGGGTTAATTTCATATTTGCAGAGTCATAAAGTAAAGAGTTCAAAATCTAATTACAAAGGTTTAATTTCATAGCAACTGAAGAGAAACATTTCTATCATAAAGGAAAATAAATACTGTGCTACTTTAGGAAACAATTTGTCAGGGACTGGGGCCTAGGAGAAGGGTCTCCATTACTGTCACTCAACTTTGCATGACAATGCATCACCGAGGCGGGCGAGTCTGCGGCGGGGCAAATCTAATCAGCTGAAGTCAAAGTAATCAGGCTGGGGTTGCACGTTTCGGGAAAGGTCAGCGTTAAGCCCACTTTCTCCACGCTAATTCAGTTACCATGTCATCGCCTCTGAGTTAGTATTCCTCCAGCTTGAATCTATAAAATGGATGTTTGCGCAAAGCGCTAACTACGTTAGGACTAACAGGATTTATTTCACATCCTATTATTTGTTCTTCCTCATAATTTTCCATGTGTCATGCCAGGAGACCGGTGAGGTAACACGATTAAGCTCAGAGTTGAGCAGCTAAGTGTATATTAGCAAATCAATCTGAATTTGTGCATAACCCAGTCATGGTCCCACCTGCCGTGGAGGGAAATTCATTTGCTTACATTACTCTGTAACTCAGTTACCCTTTGCCAGGATTCGGCAGTGAAGCCACGCGTGCTCCTACATTGGCATGGAAGTGCCACTGGGTTTTGGAAACACTGCCTCGGGGACTAGAGTGAGGATGATGCACGACGAATGCACTTCAGAGGTGGCAAACCTTTCTGGGGGCGGGGGGCTGCCTTCGAGGTCCCCCGCTCCATGACCCCCCTCACTCTACAGCTGACCGTTGTGCAGGCTCAGCGCCCCAGGCAGCTCCATCGCTGCTTCTGGAAAGGGAGCCCAGCAGAAAGAGCTCATTTTCCATCTCTGTTTCTGAAGTTCCAAGGGCTTCCCAAGATGATTCAAAAGAAATGCAAACCCCACATCGGATTTCAGCATAGGCTGGGGTTGGGTCGGCGCTCCCGCCACCGGCTGCAGCAGCAGTTTCCTGCCAGCCCTGGTCCTGGGAGAGCCATGGCAGCTCCAGGCGCCCCAGCTGCCCAGCGGGGGCCTGGCGCCCAGGGAAAAGACAGCACATTGAGCCCAGGGTATGAGTTCGTTAAATAAGCTTACACCGTGTTTGTCCCTGACGCGCTCTCTTCATAGGGTGATTCTGAAATGATATTGAATCTGTAAAACACCATAATGACTTTACACTGTTAATTTTAGAAATTCAGTCCTGCTGCCCAAGGGCTGCCTCCACTAAGGTGCCTCTGAGCTGGAGAGTAAATGAGATGACCTTTCCACGAGCAACGCAGAACTCTGTTCTACAACAACCACGGAAACACGCATGGTCTCCAAGCAAAGTAAAACCAGAACCCCCTTCTCTGCAGACCTGTCTGACTTTCTCAGTCAGAAACAAATGAAGATTCCAATTATCCCCCACTGTAGAACCCAGGTCCAACTGCCTTGGCCCAGGTCTTCCTTGTTTTTCACTATAAGGGGCATGTGGACCAAGCTGAACACAGGCATACAGAAAAAAAATGTTATAAAAATAAAAAGAGAAGAGCAACCATAAATTAAAATGTTCCCCAGGAAGCTGAGCTCAGGGCCTCTCACAAACATGTGCAACCCAGGCTCAGGTAAAATACATGCTCATGTGTCAGTAACACACCGCACTGGAAAACTGGTGAATTCAACAATTTCTAATGTGGGGATTATTTGTTGCTGCAGCTGACACTACCCTACTTGTATAATACAGTGACCAGCGAATGAATGAATGCACAGGCCAAGGTCAGTCACCTGCCCCGTGTCCACGGAAAGCCTGTCACAAAGAGGACATCACCTTCAGGAGATCCAGCTTCAGGTGCAGCTCCCCTTGGGTGGACGAGCACAGGGCGCCCACGATGATGCTCATGTACTCCTCAGCGTTGATGACCGAGAGCTGCTCCAAGATGCAGAGGGCGGCTGCCCGGTGCCACTCCTCGTCCAAGAAGATCTTGATGAAGGGCACCATGCCGTGGTCTTTCAGGACAACTGCAGACCGACACACAGGTGGCACTAGGTGACAGGGGCCTCGCACCTTCCTTTCCATCACAAGGACAGCTTTTCCTCACAATATCCAAGTTTATTTTGCTATATCTTTATGTGTCTCTTTTGCCCATTAGAAACTTTTTTCAAAATCCATACCCACTGTTAGAATGAGAAGAGGGAGAGAGAACTGCACAGCTGAGAATTAGAAGGAAAACATCTCTTTCCTCCAGTGGGAA